TATCCCCAATTGAGCACGTGTGGGATATGATGGGTAGGAGATTGCTCAATTTGCAACGTCCTCCTCAGGCTCTAGAAGCACTTCGAGAGGAGTTGGTGGTTGCCTGGTATGAGATACCACAGGAGGACATTGACCTCCTGATCAGAAGCGTGCCTAGGCGCGTTGGGGAATGCGTAGCACATCAGGGTGCATCCACACATTATTAAAGGTCAAAGGGCTTTAAAGCAGTGCAATCATTTTGAAAATTTTATCATTTACTTATTATGCTTCATTAAGTACTTATACAAAATTTTATTAAAATAAAACCATTTAAACTGGGTGTTCGGATTTATATGTCACTTAGTATATTATGTCATGAAATGAATGTATAGTATTCCTATTTCTAACTGGAACACCAAAGATGACCTTATACATGAGATAAATAACGTACTGCTGTCAGAAGGTGGTTCCAGTTGTCCTCCAACTTTTTTTTAATTTAAATGGTCTCTTTTTCATGCACGGTCAAATGCCAGAGCAACTTCTGTCAGATCTATTTCAGAATAAACATATAGAAAATCAACTTGCCCTGAAACCTTATAATAATCAAGATCATGATCATCAAGACACCTCCGAACACCTTCCTACAAGGTGTTTTAATGAAATGTTTTTTTTTTAGTATACTGATTCTCCGAGTGTTTGGCCTGGGAACAACAAAAGGCACACTCACCATTTTTGCAAATGAGGCAAATTATCAGACGCAGATTACGACGGAACGCAGTGTAAATAAAGATGGAGTTTGTTATTTTTGGCTCTTAGGTATTATTTCATTATTTGATAATGTGCTAGTAAAATGTCGTCCACTTTCCACACAAGCTTCATTACGACGAACCCAGTTTCTTCTTACTGTAGGTCCTCGAAGTTGTCCATTTATTATTTCAGCCACGTAAAAAATTTTTTCGCGAAGTTGTGCTTCAGTTGTTATTGGACCAGCCTCATAATCCATCCCTTTAAGTTCTCCCCAATACCAGAAATCCATCGGATTGAGGTCAGGAGATCTTGCTGGCCATTTTTGAGGATCAGGAGCATTTCGACCGATCCAGCGATTTGGATAATGTTTATTCAAATACTGAATGACGCCTCTAAAAATGTGTGGTGGTGCCCCGTCATGAAGAAACCACAAATTGTAATGGCATGTTGTCTAAGGCCTGTTCCAAAAGTTCTGGTAGGTTATTGGCTAGAAAGCTAAGCTATCCTTCTCCTGACAACTTTGGGGGTAATTCAAAAGGGCCAATTACCTGATCGTCAAGAATACTCGCCCAAATATTTATTTTAAAACGTTGTTGGAAATGACCTTCACGAATGGTATGGGGATTTTCTTGGGCCCACGTGTGAGTATTATGGAAATTTAATATCCCGTCTTGCGTAAAAGTACATCCGTCCATCGCTAGAATGTTTTTTAAAAAATCCGGATTTTCGATGTTTTTGTGCAAAAACCACTGACAGAATGTTAGTCTGCGAGGATAGTCTTCTGGTAACAAGGCCTGCACTCGTTGTACATGGTAGGGATAAAGCAAATTTTCCCGTAAGATTGTATGGACTATGGTATGCGATAGTCCTACGCGGCGGCCTTATTCCCGAGCGCTGATATCTGCATTGATTTCCACGATATTTAAAATTTGTTCCTCCTGCTCTACAGTGCGAATATTAGTGGGCTGAACACTTCCTGTATCTCGAAGTCTTTGGTACACTTGCACAAATGTCCTTCTGTCTGAGTGTACCCGTTGGCGAAATCTGTCGCGATAAATTTGACTTGCAAGATTTGAATTCTAACTAGCACATGTCGGCGAACTCTTGATTCGAGAACATTGTAAATAAACACGACGACGCACACGAACAAAAACAAAACAACATACTAACCACTGTTACCGTTTGCGATCGATTGCCGGTTCGATAAGAGACATGAAAGACCGACGCGCTGTTGTCATGTGTGTTTTAAATATTTAACTTAATGAAACTTACTCTCTTACTGACTACAAATTTTGGCTTAACTTAGATAAACTTAATGCCATTTATTTGTTAATTACCCAATTTAGAAACGTTTTAGATTAGATTATAAAAATTAGTAAGATTGTGGTCGATATAAAGCACTTAAAGTTGTAAACTATAAACCCATTTAGACAAAAATCTATTGACTTTTGGACCATGGGTCATATGAACTTTTTGACTTGTTTTGACCCCCTATTACCCATTTCAATAATGACTACCATGACGTTTACACCCTGTATATCATACTGAATTTTTAGACAAATCGACTGGGACTGATCTATATAGTATATGAAATTACGCCCTGACTTGAGAACTACTTAACCGATTCCATTCATCTTTTTTTTTTGAAAGTTTCTTATTGGTATACAGAAGGTTCTTACGGGAAGAAAAATCAAGAAAATTGCTCAGAAAATTGGGGAACCATTGAAAACCCAATGATTATTTAAGCTACGCACGATTGACAGGCACTTCTCTTCGCCATCTTTATTCCAGCAGCTATTGATAGTTATATGAGAGAAAATTGCTTATGAAAACATGGTGCTTTTGTTTTAAGTCTTACATTTCATTACCATCCGTACTTTGTGATGGACCCTTCAAAAGAATCTGCAGTGTTGTCTAATTGTTATCTTTGTCAGTTACGTTTCTTTTGCTTAATAGACTTTCACTACTCTAACATTTTGAACTTGACAGCTCGCACGCCGCAAATTTATATTATCGTTTAACAGTGTTTGTCGATGAAAAAATATTGTTTCATTTAATTAGTAGTGCACAGTCCATTCGATTAGAGCTTTTATCCAGTTTTCAGTTTGTTCAGTGAGTATTTGTTCAAAAATAATCAACAAGGGTGGAAGTTAGTTCACCGCAATCACGCCTTATATTACAATAATTGTGAATTCCACCAATTAGACGTACCAACCTACCAACCTAGGTCGCAGAACTCGCAATGCTGCAAGTCAAAGATATATACGAAGAAGTCAAACTGACGAGCAACGAGAAGCGAGAAATGAAGTTGAAATTCAACAAAGTAGAAGTTTCCCATTTAATCCCAATCGAACCGCATTCATTTACGACGTGGCAATCGATTACAGTTTACAACAAATCGTTACCATTGGACCAATGCACGTTGTGAGTCCACATTGCAAGTCTTTCAAGTTTAAAAATGAAGCCCCTGGATTATGTTGCGTCAGTGGAAAAATCAAATTGACTCCATTGGTACCATCACCAGTACCACTACATTCCTTGGTTTTCAGAAATGGGTCAGATTCTATACATTTTTTGACTCATATTCAGCAATACAATAATTGCTTTCCAATGGCGTCATTTGGCACGACAAAATTCATTCGACATAATTTTATGCCTACTTTCACATTAAGTTGATGGAGGACTGGCAGTGCCGCCAACATACTTTGCTAGCCACATGGCATATACTTAGCTATACAATTACTTCCATTCCATATACGAGTATTTACCGTTTCATTATTCATTATTCATCCGTTTATAGCTATGACAGGACAGCGTCTGTCGGGTCAGCTAGTTTTCTATATTTTTTGTACCGGGTCCTTTGCAAGACTCGTATAGACATTCCGTTCAATACCATTACCACCAAGAGTACCGTCGACCGGTACATGAAGCTTCAAGACACATCACCTCCATCAAAATAATCTTTTTTTTTTGTTTCAAGTGATTACTATAGTTTTGTTTGACAACACTGTTTTTGACAGATGACGCGTGAATCGTGTCTTGTGTCATTGTCAAACTTGTTCAGTTTGGTCTATAATTTAACCATGAATCGACTTACGGTTAAGATAGTGCATCGAGAAACTGCTTCCAATTTATGGGAAATTTGGTCGGCCTACTGAGGGAGCTATTCGGAAGTTTGTGACTAAATTTCGAACCCAGTTTAGATTATTGGACATTAAACCATCAACACGCAGACGTAGAGTGAGGACTGAAGAAAATATTGCGGCTGTATCCGCCAGTGTTAGTGATGACCGTGAAATGTCGATTCGCCGCCGTTCGCAGCAATTGGGCCTCTGTTACTCCACTACGTGGAAAATTTTGCGACAGGATTTGGGTGTAAAACCATATAAGATACAGCTGGTGCAAGAATTGAAGCCACACGACTCCCACAACGTTTCCAATTTGGTGAATGGGCGCTGGCAAAGTTGGAGGAAGATCCACATTTTTATCGAAAAATTGTGTTCAGCGACGAAGCTCATTTCTGGTTGAATGAATGGGTACGTTAACAAGCAAAATTGCCGCATCTGGAGTGAAGACCAGCCAGAAGCATTGCAAGAGCAGCTACCAATGCATCCCGAAAAAATCACTGTTTGGTGTGGATTATGGGCCGGTGGCATCATCGGGCCGTACTTCTTCAAATACGACAATCGCCGGAACGTAACTGTGAATGGCGAGCGCTACCGTGCGATGATAACAAACTTTTTTTTGCCCAAAATGGAAGAGCTGGACTTGGCTGACATGTGGTTTCAAGAAGACGGTGCCACATGCCACACCGCACACGAAACAATGGCCCTAGAGAAAGGCGAGTTCGGTGAACAGTTTATCTCACGTTTGAGGCCCGTCAATTGGTCGCCTAGATCGTGTGATTTAACGCCGTTGGACAATTTTTTGTGCGGCCATGTTAAGGCTAATGTCTACAGGGATAAACCAGCAACGATTGTCGCACTGGAAGCCAATATTGAAGCATTTATTCGTGAGATACCGGCCGATATGTTGGAGAGAGTGTGCCAAAATTGGACTTTGCGCATGGGCCATCTAAAGCGGAGCCGCGGCCAACATTTACATGAAATAATCTTTAAACATTAAATTATATCGACCGTTCTATCGAATCAAATAAAGATTTAATCGTTTTTTCAAATTTTTTGTGTTTTTTTTGAAAATCAAATCCTATACCTCTTAAAAAATCACCGGTTATATGTGAATTGTCATATTTCAATAAAACGTATTATTCACAGGCAACAGGTGCTTTGGAGGAACACCGGCGCATGAGGGACTATCTTCACAGGATGGAAAGGGACGGTGTACAAAGGGTGAAAATGTTCCTAGTAGTCACAGCAGCCTACGTACTATTTTGGGGACCACTGTTCATAGTCACGCTAGTCAATCATCCGGTTCTAGGAAATGAACTAGGACATGAGGTAAGCATAGATTGAATTATCGATTGCCAAGTTTTGAAAGTCGCCCTAGTTATATCGTGAGATATCTTCCTTCTTTTAAGGATTTCCTTTTCAAGCAAATTCGTGAGAAAAGTAGACGATCAGCAGACTATGGTTAACGTATTCTTTAATAGCGTAAGAAGAGTTTCAAATTTTTAACAATCGCTTTCTGGTCAGAACTATATTTAGCGATAGTATCATTTGTAACAACCATGCCTCTACATTTCAACGAAAACAGGTCCTAAGCTCGAATATTCCACTCTATAATAGAAGTGACTCTTAGGCGTTAACAGTATGCGAAAGCTTTTAGACACTACAATTTGACAACTACCACAGTATCCCTAGTGATGACATATGAGATCTGTAAATTAAGTAATGAAACTGGCAACGTAACGATGCGTAGACGGAGGAACATGCAATCCGCCTTCAGTACAAGTTTGAACTCGCTCGAGTTATTTGGTTGTCCGTAACGTTTTTTTTTTTGCGAACCATTTTTTCCTGTTGTGTTCTGCAAATTAGTGACATCAATTTCGAGCAACGGTGTGCTCTCAGGTTTGCTTCATACTTGAGCACAGTGCAACGGAAACTCTTGCTCAATTTCAGCAAGCCTGCCGAGATAGTGTTTTGTGGAGAGCCCAGTTTTTCAGTGGTTTGGGGCATTTTCAGAAGGGAGAGTCGATTGAAGATGGACCACGAAACGAAAGGCCATCATCTTTAGATCGTCGGTTGACAGTCTAAATAATCGGGGAAAAGTTAAATTTGACTCACACCAACCTTCATCAGATCAACAACAAATGGGTGTTGCATAATGCTGCTTGTCACACAGCAATGTCAATAAACGAGTTTTTGGCCAGTAAATACATTCCTGTGACTCCTCAGCCTCCTTATTTATCTGGTTATGACTTTTTTATCTTCCTTTCACTAGTTGAAAAATCACCTCAAGGGGACTCATTTTGGAACAGTCGAAAACATTAGCTGAAGGCTATTCCAGTTCCGGACTTCCAGCACTGCTATCAGGAGCGGAAGAACAGTCTCCAGCGCTTTGAGGCTTCAGAAGAAAGTTATTTTGAGGGTGACAATATAAAACTGTCATTATATTTGCATAAAAAAATCAGTCTCATCACTTAAATTACAGACATCGTATACAGGGTGTTCCTTAATGATATGCGAATATTTAATCTTCATGAAAAATTAATGTTAGTTTGCTTTATAAACTATGGTCCCAAAATGTTTCCTTACAAAAACTAGGGGTGTTGAAATTTTAGGAAAAAAATGGAAATTAATTAATATTTCCGGAACCGCTTCAGATATTTCACTCATATTTAGTACGTAGTGAAAGTTAATAAAGTTACAGATTTTTTAATGCAAAAATAATTTTTAGCTTTAACAGTGGCGTGCGTACGGGTATTGACTTCGATATTTTTTAAGAAAAAATTGTACGCCAATGGTTTTTTGCCAAATAAAAATTATTTTTGAATTCCCCGTTCAATTTAAAACAAATTATCTCTCTTGAAGTGTTTTCCTTCGATGCGCCATTTTTGAGTAAAAAAATAAAAACTGTTCTATTGTCTAACTTGCAAAATTATTAATTTAATTGGAAAAATTAAACACATTAGGTGTAATGAACAACAACAACTGACAACATAAACATGACATTAAAACCAACTACATGATTGCAAAAAATGTTGAAAATGGCCACTTAGTATGCATGCTTCCGCCCTCCTTCTCATGGAATTGCGCACTCGTTGAAATATCCCTGGAGTGTTTTTTATTCTATAACAAGTGCAACTATTCTTACTCTTAATTCCTCTACAGTGTTAATGGGACTTTTGTACACTAGTTTCTTAAGATAGCCCCGCAAAAAGAAATCTAAACTGTTGAGGTCTGGGGACCTTGGTGGCCATTCTTGGGGCCCACCGCGGCCAATCCAACGATTTGGATAAACAGTATGTAAATAATTACGAATCGCTACACTGAAATGCGCTGGTGCACCATCATGCATGTACCACATATTGTTTCTTATTACTAACGGAACATCATCAAGCAGCAAAGGCAACTGTTGCTGAAAAAATTGAGGTAAGTATGTGCGTCAAGGAAGAATAGGCCAATAAAGTGGTTGCCAATAATTCCTGCTCATACGTTAACCGAAAATTGGTGTTGGAAATGGGTTTCGGTTACAGCATAGGGATTTTCTTCTGCCCACAAATGATTATTGTGGAAATTCGGAATGGCATTTCGAGAAAAATTAGCTTCGTCCGTGAACAGAGTCATTGATTCAAATTGCGGATTTTGTGTAATTTTTTGAAGATACCACTGACAAAAGGTCACACGCCTTGGAAAATCAATGGAAAGTAATGCCTGTACTCTTAAAATATGGCAAGTATATAACAAAAAATTCACTAAAATTCTCCAAACAATTTGATGGCAAATATTCAAGTGTCTAGCGATCTTCCTCGTACTCGTTCCAGGATGTTCTTCGTACAGCACTACTTCCTCAATTTCAGGTGTTCTCCACTTAGAGGTCTACCTTCAAATGTCCCTTTTCGGACAGAACCAGTTTCAACAAGACGACGATGAATATTAGAAAATGTTCGACTATCTGGCAAAGGACGATCGGGATATCTCTGGTGATAAATCCGTCTGGCTTGCTCACCATTACCATCGGCAAGGTCATAGACGTATTACATTTCCGCCATTTCTGCATTTGAATAATTCACCATTATTAACAAGATTGTAAAAACTAAATAACGAAAAATATGTCACAGCGAACAGATTTGAATAACAGAGACTTGTCAGATGTCAAAAGCCAGTGACATAGTCCAGAACACCTAGATATTTATTGCTAAATTGCATTCTTCAATTATTACATTAATTTTCTCGGACAATAGAACGGTTTTTATTTTTTTACTCAAAAATGGCACATCGAATGAAAATAATTCAAGAGAAATCATTTGTTTTAAATTGAACGGGGAATTCAAAAATAATTGTTATTTGGCAAAAAACCATTGGCGTACCATTTTTTCTTAAAAAATATCGAAGTCAATACCAGTTTTTGCATTGGAAAATATGCAACTTTATTAACTTTCACTACGTACTAAATATCAGTGAAATATCTGAAGCGGTTCTGAAAAAATAAATTATTTTCCATTTTTTTCCTAAAAAAAACACCCCCGGGTTTTTGTAAGGAAAAATTTTTGGACCATAGTTTATAAAGCAACCTAACATTAATTTTTCATGTAGATTCATACCCTTAAACATTCGCATATCATTAAGGAACACCCTGTATAACAAACTGCATCAGGACATTCACCCATTTTGTTTTTTAATATAAGGACTATTCTACATGGAAACTGTGCGGTTCGTTTTCTGTCACACTAGGAATGAAAATATAATTCTTTGGATCCAGTCCAATGGCAAGATCGAACAAACCCTGATCACCCCTCTACAACCTATAAGGTATTATTCAGATGACACTTGACTTCCACGACACGAACGAAAGTAGAAAGAATTTTGAGAGCAACGTATATACCATACGCCTGAACACCTACAAGTCTATAAAAACCATATGAAGCATTTTACGCCGGTCACACGTCCAAATAGTCAGCCACCATACCTTTGCGGGCTTGATTAAACATAAATAACCCTTATCACCCTTTCCGTGTGTACCTGTCGCTTCCTATATCCTTTGTAAATGGCCGGGTTGTCCGGGACGTGGGTTTGTATTGCTTTAACTCGAGTTACCAGTTCAGCCGACTCCAACATCTAATGTCAAATTGGAACAGGATCCACAACACGAAATGGAATAAGAGAATACTCGATTGACAGGGAATCCAATTTGGCGGAACACGAGTAATCTGAAAATTTAACTTTAGATAAGAATAGGATATCGTTTTACTAATTCCCAGTCCAAATGATGAATTGGCAGTACAACGGACTAATTCGTTTTCTCGCAAAGTGTTTGCTAAAAATAAGCTACCTCAATCCATGAATGAACGGTGCCAAAAAGGTTAAAATTGTAGGGATAAAGTGCCACTTACGTAAGTGTTACAGATTTCCAGAGTACAGGCTCAATTTACAGAGAAATAAGCCTATTCGGCTACATCTTACAGCCCGACAGTCTTAAGGCTTATTATACAGGGTGTAAACGTTATGATAGCCATTATTTAAATGGGTGATAGAGGGAAGCAAAAAGTTTCATATGACATCGGGGTCAAAACGGCATTTTTTTAGAGAAAAGCGACTTTAAAGTAAAATAAAATCTGACAACGCCGCAATGCCAGACGCAAATTCGTAAAATGCAAACAATTAAAAAAACGGACTTACCACTAACTGTCTCAGCGCTTCACCTGGTGTGTGAAAGTTTATTGAACGTATTAGAAAAAGCCACACAAAATTTGATAAATACATTGTTTTGCTTTTTAAAACCCACACTGCACTTTTTTGTATTTAAAGAAGGTGTTCAAAATGTCGTCCTCCACTTTCCACACAAGCTTCATTACGACGACCCCAGTTTCTTCTTACTCTAGGTCCTCGAAGTTGTCCATTTATTATTTCAACCGCATTAAAAAATGTTTCACGAAGTCTTGCTTCAGTTGTTATTGGACCAGCCCCATAAACCATCCTTTTAAGTCCTCCCCAATACCAGAAATCCATCGGATTGTGGTCAGGAGATCTTGCTGGCCATTTTCGAGGATCAGGAGCATTTCGACAGATCCAGCGATTTGGATAATATCACTGGACAACAAATTTTAGTTTTTTAATTGTATCTTGTGGGAAAAGTGCACTTCTTTGTTAATTTTGGGGCGCTGAATCCAAAAATGACAATGAAATAAAAAAATTAGTTGCGGTTTATAAAAAAAACTTTTTATTTTTAAGGATATATTAAAAAAAGTAACAAGATTCATATACTTATAAGAATCACTATATGCGCTGTCTGTTTGCTGTTCTTTTATGGATCGTTTCTGGAGCATCTCTACCAAGAG